TACAATCTGAAAACCCTTGCACCGAGAGGTCTTAATATAGACTTTGATCTTTTTAATTTTTTATAAAAAAAATTCTTATATTTTTAGTATAATTGCTATTGTTTATATCTGTACCTTCCAAGCCCTCTTTTTATGAATATGTTTATTTTTATTAATTTTTTAGCTTAATTTCTTTTAATATAGTGCTTCCATGTTTTGTACAAATTAAGTAACCACTTTTATAGACTGTATATTTTATATACTGTACTATTTATAATATATATTAATGTATACAAAATAATATATATTACCTCTTTAAGTATTTAGGTTTTACATCACTCAATCATACATATTACTATATTGGTTATATGTTTATTTGAAAACTCACTGTATGTAAGTACATCCCTTTTTGTTAATACTTATTGTATATGTATAATTTATTAATATGTTTATTATTATCCTCTGATATGCCTCTTTTGGGCTTTGAACCTGTGCCCCTTTTTGGGCTGGTGCTGTCTTATTGTCTGCCTGCCTTTGCAGGCAGACAGCATAATTAATACATTTTCGTCACCCCTTTTTAAGAGATGACGATTCCTTTTAGGCAGCCCATCCCCCTTACATCATTCAGAGGCTTACACATATGTCCCATTGAAACGGAACGCATGCGTTCCATTCGGCATCACGTGACGCGGACGTGTTTTAACCGTGCGTCACGTGACCTTCTTTTAACTACATATGTTTTAAGCTTCGAAAAAAAATAGCTGCAACTTTTTAACATTATATGTCTCTATATATTGCAATGTCCAAAAGTGTTATTTATGATATGTACTATGCAAATGAGATTATGATGACGTCATTATGGCGGGAAATTCAAATTTCAATAGTATCATTGTACCCTATATAAACTCATGTATGTCAGGTTCTTTTTATTATCTACTTGAAGAAGCCTTTTTAGGCGAAATGCGTCTAGACTGTTTTTACTATATTGTAATAAAGGAATTATTTTGGCACAAAACATTTTGATTGCCATATTCCTTTTTTATTATTCTTGTTTACTTTACACATTTTTACCTGACTACATTGATATTCAGCACTTAATAAAGAAGCACAAAGAATCCGTAGGTGGGGATTATACCACCCATACGCTTACATCGAGCAGTATAAGCCTGCTCTAAATATTGTAAGTAAATTTTCTATTTCTTAAAAAAAAAAAAATGTTTATTCATAAAACAGAGAGCACTATATTTTACTCTTTTTACTTTTGGGCTGGACCATACCAACACTGGACTTCGGATTCGTCTCATATATCTGCCAGCCAGCGCCACTTCACATATCCTTGAGTGGGGATTATTCCACTTCACGCATCCAATACCAGAGCTGGACTTTAGCTCTGCAAAGTGTGAGTAATAATGATTACCACTATTTTATAATTTTAATTTGTCTACATACTGTACCATTGGAGTCCTGCTCTTGTTTTCTTTCCGCATATGCTTCACCGAATCTCAAGTATATATCCGTGAAGACTTGCTCCATTTTATATTTCAAGAGTCCTCCCTATAAGCGTGGATTATATCACTCTGGCTTTATGATAAATTATCTGGACTATTATTAATACTTTTACCATTTGTTTTGAGGCGCACCCTTTTTTCTGTTTTGTGTTATATTGTATTTCATTTTCTGAGACATTTGAAGCTGACCACCAAGTAGTATCTTTAGTATCGGCATTATAGGCTTTCTGTCCTAGACATATTAACTTGCCAACAGGTGTGGTATACAATGGCCCTTTCCTGGCTAAACATACATGACCTATAATAGAGGTTTTTAACCGCCACTCTGATTTACCTCTAGTACTTACTTGATGATCAGACTGAGAAAGTATTTGTTGTTCATATGTCTCAGAACCAGGGTACCATACTTCCTTTGCCTCCCATGGCCACTGGTCTCCCATATTAGTACCTCCACATACATAGCAATTAGTTACATTAAGACTACCCGCAATACTCTCAGCCAAATCAATAAATAGGTTCTTAACATTATGGGGAATTTTATCCTCAACACTCATCTCCTCATAAAAGGAATGAAAAACCTGATGAGTTTGAGTTGCTATCGTCTCAGTTTCAAGTCCTACATATATTATGGTCCCTGGATTTACTCCTGTGCCATATATTTGGAACCCAAATAGATTTCCAAACTTATCAATAAAATGTTGTGGATTAGAGATGGTCATATGGACAGGATTACATTCCATAGACTTACAGTGTGGTGTAGTGGGCAACCTTTGGATAATCATATCTTGATCTACTGTTTTTCCCCAGGTCGCCCACCCTACACAAGACCAATATGGACAAAAATTAAAATCCCTATTTGGGCAATCAGGATCAGTAGATCTCTTACTGGGACATAAATATTTATCATTAAACCCATAAGTTCGTTCCCATTTAAGATTACCACATACATTCCAAGGTTTTCCACTACCAGAGATCGCCTTACATGCATCAAATAGTAGAATGCCCGTAGAATGTATGGTATTTATCACAGTCCTAGTTATCAAGGTCCCCTGGGAGTTACTGTTCCGAATTACCAACCAAATTGTATGAGGTTGGGATTGGGGATGAAAACATTTAGGCTCTCCTGATATTGGTTTGCACACACTAATCTATATCTAAATATCTACACTTAGATACAGATCCCCTACACTCATACTGTGAGTGCCAAATGAGAGTTTGGGATATTTGGTTACCTGTATTTGTAGTCTTAATGCAGCTAACACAACTCTATATGACCTCACCTTTACCTTCCTGAAAAATAACAAAAATGCCTAAACACATAGTATAACATATTATTTCAGAAGTCCTCATTTCTACTCTTCGACCGTGCGACGGCACCTCAGCTTCTTGATTGTGAGGGCTGCAAGGATTGTCGTTCTTCTGATCCTCACTTTTCTTCACAGAGGTCCCTTCGAGACACTCTGGCTATGACACGTAGGTAGGTGGTCAGGCTTTATTATGGCCGTCAAAACGCCTATTTGCTGATATCTGTTGTTACTTTCAACTAAGATGTCCCAATATCTCCTCGTATTATTTCTCACTCCGACTGAGCTACCCGCTTTAACCGGATCTTGCAAGGATTTTCAGAATCTGGAATAGCGTGCCAAGAATCTTCCGCTGGTTTAACCCTAGAATGATGAATCCACTGAGTCACTTCTGCCACCTTTACAGCTGTTGGAGTAGATAAAAGAACAACATAAGGAGCCCTCCACTTTGGACTTAATGGAACAATATTCCATTCTTTTATCCACACTTGATCTCCCGGTTGATAGTGTAGGAAATTTGCATTCCGTGAGATATTTGTTTTCCAATTTTCTGAACAAATCGAATCAGAGTGTCTTGCAGTTAAAACCGTATATTTATTACAATATACACATCATCCGGTAACAACAAAAGTCTGTTTTAAAATCATATGGACCAATAGACAATGTATATTCACTTCTAGATCTTATCTTATATAAGCTTACTGTCTCAGAACAGTTTTTCTCATGTATTTCTGTTTTTCCTTCTATTTGATGCCAACATATCATGCCTTTATTGTATGTCCATGCTGGTTGAATTGGTATTTTATTTAATTTCATTTGACACGTGTCATTATTCTCCCAGCACCATGATACCTCTTCTAGAACATAAGGGCAGACATAATCACCATCGTTTAACAAACAATTTTCTGTATTCAGCATGTACTCTACAGTTTTTACTCCCACTAGGATTTTATCATTTTGCTTATTATCCATTTGCTTATTATCCATTTTTATCCATTTAGAATTCACTATTTTACCCAAATCAATATACTTGAATCTGTTGTAATTAACTCCTCTAGTAGGGAGAAAAATAGCAAAAGCACAATTTTCTATTGTGTCTTCCAGACATCCTAACCATTGTGTATGCCAGAAAGCTCTGTAGTAAAAACTTATTTTAGGCACTTCAAGAGGGACTTCATAAGGCCATTGATGGTTAAAAAGAGCTTGCAAGAATATTTTTGCATTCGTATTGATGTCCATTTGTAAAGCTATACATCCTAAGGCTAAAGAGGTATCAGTTGCAATCTTTTCCATTCCCACACTGATGATATACTTTTTATTAATGAGATTCTTAATAATGGAAATGTCTGTTCTGTAGTTATTGATAACTGTTTGCATTTGTATCTTAGATAATAACAATGAAGCATCCTGTGATTTACTACCTGCAGCTGCTAGTGTACTCATTCTAGCTGCTAATGATTCTATATTTACTCCATTTAGCACACTTGCTCCTACACCTAAACCACCTAATATTGTGTTATACCACTCACGTTTTCTTCGTGTATTCACTGGTCTTGAGAAAGTGGTGTCTTGTTTTAACCAATAATAAAAATCTTGTTGTATTCCTACTGTATATTCCTGACATTGTGGGAATGTACGTGTAATGTCCCATTCTGACATGTTCAATGAATATGTGTATATACTAAATGAAGCCCCAAATAAGACTTTGTGATCATCATCTTTGTATATTCTAAGGGGATCTTTTCCTTCCTCTTCTACAAGATTAAAATCATCTGTTATTCTTTGTTCTGGAGTCCAATTATCATGAAATGTCGTGATTGTGAATGCATATGAAAGCGAAACAGTGTTCCCATTCCTATTTATTATATGTCTCATAACAAAAATAGGTATCCATAACCATGAAGGTTTTCTAGATTTTGGATGCCAAGGCCACATAGTGACTTGGCCTGCACATTTAGCTGGGTTTTGATAGGTAAATGAGCTCTCTTGTGTTTGTTCGAGTACTTTTACTTTAGCATTTGTGTAAGGATTAACAAGTGTATCTATTAAGTACATGTAGCAAATTAACCCATCATCGTTAACACTTCTCACATTAAACATAGTAAGGGTAAAGGTGTTGTCTATACCAGTAGGTACCACACACCTACTCTCAGTATTATTTTGCATTATATATGTCCTATCCTTGGTAATATTAATGATTAAATCAATTTCCAATTCCTTCTGACAATCATGTGGTGTTCCATGTATTTCTATCAACTCAGGAATAACATATCTTTTACTGCTTTCTACTCTGAGTGGTTTATCTTGTAACTTCAATATCCAATGAGCTACCCTCTGGCTATGTACTCCTAAATCAGAACAATTTTGTAACAGTTTTAAAGGCGTGTGGGGGGTTTGTAAAATTAGCTGTCCAAATCCTACAATGTGTTGTGTTTTTTCTAAAGCCCAACATACAGCCAAGAGCTGTTTTACACAGGAAAACATTCCCCTTTCCACTGGAGACATGATTTTAGAAAAATATCCCAGTATTCGTAAGGAGCCATGTTGCCCTTGCATCAAAATTGCTATTAATGAAGAGACACCTGCGTAACATTGAACAATATATGGTACTGTTTCAATGGGAGCAGCTAACACAGGCGCTTGTGTAAGAGCATCTTTTAACACGTTCCAACTCTTTTCAGCTTCCTCTGTCCAGAGTAGCTTATCTGTATTAGCACTATCTTTTAGCATATTGTACAGGGGTTTTGCTATTCCTGCCATATCATAGATGAATTCTCTGCTAAAATTTACCAAACCTAAAAATTTCCTTAGATCAGACACTGTCATTGGCCTTGGCAATTGCTGTAACGCTTTAACCCTTGCTGTTCGTAGTGTTTTACCTGCTGGATCTATATTTACTCCTAAGAAAGCCACGCTTTCTTTCAAGATCTGCACTTTGAATGTGTTCAGTTTTAACCCATTATCTGCCAGTGCTTGACAAATATCACACAGTATCTGCTCATGCTCTTCCCTTGTTACTGTTTGAACCAACAGATCATCAACATATTGCAAAATCTTGCTCCCATACCCCAGGGGTTCCAATACTTGAGCCAATGCTTTATGAAAATAAGCTGGCGAGGAGTGGAAGCCCTGTGGCAGCACCTGGAACAAATATTGATGATTTTTAAAGGTAAAAGCAAAACAATACTGACTATCTGGATGTACTGGTATTGAGAAAAACCCATTGGCTATATCCAGAACAGAAAAATACTTAGCATTGCCGTCTACTTGTGCCATGATATCTGGTGAGGAGGCCGCTATATGGGCTGCTGGTGGGGTATACTTATTCACCACTCGCATGTCCACAATTAAACGATAAGAGCCATCTGGCTTGATTATTGGCCAAATGGGGGAATTACATTTGGAATTACCCACTCTCAGCACTCCTTGAGATACCAATGCCTCTATCACTTGACTCACACCTTCTTCTGATTCTTTTGGAATTTTATATTGTTTTACTGCAGGAGGGTCTGGTCCTTCAATGACAACTTGTAAATTCATTCTCCCACAATCTTGTTTAGACTTAGACCATACTGTGGGGTATTTTTCTTTAAGATAGGTTTCAAAATCATCATCTTGTTGTATAGAAGGTGACACTTCACCCTGGTTTACAGACATGACATGACTATACCATCCTAAATCATTAGGTTTAACCACTCCACCTGATTTGCTCTCACCTGGAGCTTGCCACAAAACCAAATTCAATAAATCCACATACAACTTTTTTCCATTGATAACATCCATCCCCAAAATAGTACAGTGGGAGGAAAGGTCGACCCATAAGTCACAATTTATTTTACCTCCTTCAAATTTGATGTAATTATCAGTGGATAGAGTTGCATGGGCATGTGCTCCATTAAAACTTAGAAGGGAAATTGTTGGTGCTTCAATTTTTAAAGGCAAGCTTTTGTTGGTTAAAGACACTGCAGCTCCTGTGTCTACTAAAAACTCTGTTATATTCCCCTCTAGTGTTCCATAAATATATGGCCTTCCATCTTCACCCAGAGTAATATCAGTGAGATAGACCAGAGAACAACTAGGGGTTACACATCCCTATTTATTAGTGTGGTAAGCAGAATTCACTTGTGGACTTGTGACTGCTTCCACCTTCATTTCAATGGCATTTAACATCCGTCTACACTCTTCATATGGATTTGATATTTGAGGGGGGTTTGAAGATGTATTTTCGGTTTCTACAGCTGCCACTCTCTGTAGATTCTTATAGCCTGGCACAATGCCATTTTCTTTCCCTTTCACTGTGTAAGATTTTTCTTCATTCTTGGGACAATATCTCCTAACATGACCTTCTTGGTTGCATTTAGAGCATATCATAGGACTATTCTGACTAACCCTATAATATCTATCTTGGGATGGGGCCGAATAATTTCTAGTACCCTGGTAATTTTGTGGTTTACTCATAGACCTCTCCCTAAAATTACCATTTCTATTATTATTTTCATATCTTCCTCTACCTTCTTCACGAGACACATAGTTAATAGGGGCCAGACCTGCTGAAGTATCCCTAGAGAAAAGTGTGTCTGTGAAAGCAAAAATCTTAGCTGTTTCTGTGTTTTTCTTTTGCAACAATTGCAAAGATTTCATTATTTCCGTAGCAGCAAAATCAACTGTGGGTGAATCAAAAGCTCTTAATTTGATCTCATTTGGCAACCCTGCTATTCTAGAGACAAATTCAGTAACACTCTGCTTATGTTGTTCTTTAGACATAGCAGATGGTTGTGTATCCGTAATCAAATTCCATGCCTTATTCCACAAATTAGCACAAACACGTATATCATCATTTTTCTCCATTTTGAATGAATCAAGAGTAGAAAATTGAAAATTCTCCACACCAGTTGCACACTGTACCACCATTAGCAATCTCTGTGTATTGTTTGGAAACAATTCCTCCAACTCAACTCGGGGCTTTTCACTTGACTTCTCTTCCAACACATCAATGAGTTTAACTTTAACCCATTCACTTAATGAAGTTGGCAGCCAGATCAAAAGACCTCTTGTGGCTACCACATCATCAAATTGTCTTTTATTCATTTCACCTTCAAAAACACTCATATTGTAAAAAGGTCCTCTCTTTTCATCATATTTAGGCAAATCCTTAATCAATTTAGCCAATTTGAGAATATCCAACTGACCCTTTCCTTGGACATTACCCAATTTATTTTCTATGTCACTCCTTGCCTGTTCGGTATCACAACTCAATCTTTGCGCTATTATATTATCACTTTCCTCTTTCGAAGTAAAATCCAAATCTTTCTGATTTGTAGCTTTCCACAAAATATCTGTAGCACTACCCAGATTAGTAATCTGTCTCTGCAAATTGTCAAAATTAGTAACATTTATGTCTAATTCTTTAGACATGTGAGACAGGGTTTTATGGGTTCTATCTAACAAATCAGTCTGGTTCCTAAGCATTTCTTTCATTTATATTAATATCTTCATTTTCTTCATCCCTACTAAAACTTTTCAACAATTGCCGAGAATTTTCTATTTGAGTTTTTGTTTCAGTTAACGTGGATTCCAAGTCACTATCAAAAGAGAGCCTTGGGGGCAATCTCCCTTCTGTTAACAGCTTTTGTGGAGATTTCACAGTTTTGCTGGGGGGGCTAGGGAAATAACTAGTCCTTGTGACAACACATACATTTTTCAGTTGTTCTAACAAAACATCTCTTTTTTGTTTTGATGTACTACATGCATAACAATTGCTGGTCTTTTTAAGTTGACACCATTCATTCATTGCATCATTAGTTTCCAAAAAGCTCTTTGCCAGTAATGCAACTTTTTGACTTTCCTTTTTAAATACATTGTTGTGCTCTATCTCACTTAATCCGTCTATCAATTTCAATAAACAATCATTCCAAATACTTTCAGGATTATTAGATTTGGCAGCAATCTTTTGCAGCCACTCCATAATTAACTTAAACAGTTAAAACACTTTGTTTAACAAAACTTTTTACATATGTTTTAAAACAAGACACATACCCATTAAGTATTTTGGTTCCACAGATATGGCCACTTTCTGATAGAAGAATACTTTCTGGAGTATGTAGTTATTCTTGAGAATCCTCCGAAATGCAATCTTCGATCTGCACGTCGTCACAAATTACTTGATAAAGTGTGGATAAAAAGGACCCGGATTGTCCATCTCAATTATTTATCTTCAAATTCTTGCTTCAGTACTGAACATACAAATCTGCCGCGTCAGTAATAAGTCAGTAATAATTCAGACTTAAATCTAAGTTGCCCACATTCTCCACCATTAAATGTAGGAAATTTGCATTCCGTGAGATATTTGTTTTCCAGTTTTCTGAACAAATCGAATCAGAGTGTCTTGCAGTTAAAACCGTATATTTATTACAATATACACATCATCCGGTAACAACAAAAGTCTGGTTTAAAATCATATGGACCAATAGACAATGTATATTCACTTCTAGATCTTATCCAAGCTTGACGTTAAAAGTATTGGTAAAATATTCTAGCTGCAAAGGTTTTTTATATGTTTAAAATTCAATTACATAGGGTGTATACATAATGACATAAGGTTTGCCTGCTTTAAAATAATTGGTTATCTAAGAAAAAAAAAAAAGGTGGTAACTTAGTATTATTCGATATCTATGATTAAAGCCATACGTTATATTGTTTTGGTAAGTTACACACAAAGACCTTCTAGAGACTTCTAATTACATGATGGAATGAATGATTGCCTATAGAAATGTGAACCTTCACAGGAATTCAGGCTTACAAGGCTAGGTCAAAGGTTATTATAAGCAGGATCCACAAGTCTCTATCCATCATTCTTGACTTAAAACCATATGTGTGTAAATTACAGTATGTGTATAAATTACAGTATGTTTGTAATGTATCTGGGTAGGCTCCTCGATGTCTGGATATGCTTAGAATAATAACTTACAATATTTCTACATTCCTACAACACGTTGAATACATTTAAAGTTTATAAAAATATTTTTCAGATAGGAATGAACAGGTGGATATATGTTCACAGGTAACCTATCTTGCACCCATTTCTGTACTTCCTTCATAGTTTTACCCAACTCTACAACCTGCTGCCGAGTAATTCCTTCACCCAACTGATTCAAGTCCCTCCTTAGATTACTGAATATGGGAGGTAGACGCCCATATTCGATTTCAAAGGGAGACAGACCAATTCTTCTGGTAGGAGTACTACGTATCGGCAACAGAGCTATTGGCAAAAGGACATTCCACTTGAGCTGAGTTTCCTGACACATTTTAGACAATTGGGTTTTTATTGTTCTGTTCATCCTTTCCACCTTTCCAGAACTCTGAGGTCTATATGCTGTATGAAGTTTCCACTTAATACCAAGCACATGAGTCAATTGTTGTAAACACTGATGGATAAAAGCTGGACCATTGTCTGATCCGATAGAGCAAGGAAGTCCATATCTGGGTATAACGTCTTGCAACAAAAATCGCACAACTTCTCCTGCCTTTTCTGTACGAGTTGGACAAGCTTCTACCCAACCTGAATAGGTACACACAGCTACCAACAAGTAATGATAACCCCAACATTTAGGCATTACAGTGTAGTCTGTTTGCAAATCTGACATTGGGAGTCCTCCCATATATTGAACTCCAGGTGGTTTGATAGGGCCTTGTCTTGCATTGTTTCGAGCACACAAAACACATCTTCGAAATATAGCTTGAGTAAGATTGGATAATCTTGGTATGTAGAAATGTTTCCTGAGAGGTTCTTCCATACTATCTCTTCCTGAATGTGTACCATTATGGAAGTTCTGAACAATCTCTATAGCCAGAGATGTCGGAATAACTATTCTTCCATCTTCTAACTGATACCAATTATTCTTCAAGTATTTCCCAGCTTTAGTCTTCAACCACTCCAGATCTTGGGTTGTATAGCTGACCACCAAGTAGTATCATTAGTATCGGCAGTATAGGCTTTCTGTCCTAGACATATTAGGAGTCCATTGAGACAGAGGTACCTGCACAAGGGCAGCAACATACCCCACATATTCCTCTTGCCCGGATTCAGCGGCATGTTTTGCTGCACTATCGGCCATGTGATTTCCTTTTACTACATCACTATCACCTTTCAGATGTGCCCTGCAATGTATAATACTGACTTCCTTCGGTTCCCATACCACCTCTAACAGTTGGAGTATTTCTGCTGCATACTTGATTTCTTTCCCTTCTGAATTCAACAATCCCCTTTCTTTATACAATGCTCCATGGGCATGGGTGGTTAGAAAAGCGTATTTTGAATCTGTGTAAATATTCACTCTCAACCCTTCAGCTAATTGCAAGGCCCTTGTTAATGCAATCAGTTCCACCTTCTGTGCTGATGTCCCTTTCGACAGTGGCCGTGCTTCTATCACCTTGTCTATAGTTGTTACCGCATACCCTGCATAACGTATACCTTCTTTCACATAACTACTACCATCTGTATAATACTGTATGTCCGGATTCTGGATGGGGAAAATCATGAATCTACTCGCTGCAAAATCTCGTGGTCACTACTCTATCCTAATTCTCCTTGACCTGTTTGTGGCTTTGACACTGTTGATCATCAACAGCTTCTTCTCATCCTCTGCAATATCGGTCTACAAGATATTGCTCTCTCCTGGTGCTCCTCCTACCTCTCCCAGCGCTCTTTCAGTGTTTCTTTCTCTAGCTCTGCTTCTTCTCCCCAACTCCTCTCTGTTGGTGTCCCCCAAGGTTCAGTTCTTGGTCCCCTACTGTTCTCCATCTATACTGCCTCCCTTGGTAAACTCATTAGCTCCTTTGGCTTCCAATATCATTTCTATGCAGATGACACGCAAATCTACCTGTCCTTTCCTGATCTCTCCCCGTCCCTCTTGACTAGTATCTCTGACTGCCTCTCTGCTGTTTCTAACTGGATGGCTGCCCACTTCCTTAAACTAAAATTGACCAAAACTGAAATTCTGGTCTTTCCTCCCTCAAGTGTTGTTACTCCTGTGTCTGTCTCCCTCCAAGTCAACGGTGCTACCATCAGCTCCACCACACAGGCTCGATGCCTAGGTGTTCTCTTTGACTCCGACCTCTCCTTCAAGCCTCATGTTCAGTCTATTGCCAAATCCTGTCATTTCCATCTCAAAAACATTGCGCGCATCCGCCCCTACTTAACGCCAGATGTGACTAAGGTGTTGGTCCATTCCACTGTCCTTTCTCGCCTTGACTACTGTAATCTGCTTCTCAGTGGTCTTACGTGCTCCCAACTAGCGCCTTTACAGTCCATTATGAATGCGGCGGCGAGGCTCATCTTCCTGTCTGCACGCACCTCCCATGCCTCACCCTTCTGTTAGTCCCTACATTGGCTTCCTATAAAATATAGAGCTCATTTTAAAATTCTGGTTCTTGCTTTCAAATCTCTACATAATGCAGCTTCCACCTATCTATCCTCCCTTATACAAAAGTATGTCCCGTCTAGGCCCTTACGCTCTGCTGAAGACTTACGTCTATCTTCTGTCCGTACTCCCACCTCTGATGCTCGCCTTCAAGATTTCTCGAGGGCTGCACCGTTCCTGTGGAACTCGCTTCCCTCCTCCGTTAGATGCTCATCCAGTCTCCACTCCTTCAAAAAATCGTTAAAAACCCATTTCTTCATAAAAGCGTATCAATTAAACTGTTAATAGCTCCTGACTGATTCCTCTTCTGCAACTGTCACTAGTCTAATACTATCCTTACCTTTTTGTGTCATTTTACCCCACTCCCTCTAGCATGTAAGCTCATTGAGCAGGGCCCTCAACCCCTCTGTTCCTGTGTGTCCAACTTGTCTGGTTACAACTACATGTCTGTTCGTCCACCCATTGTAAAGCGCTGCAGAATTTGACGGCGCTCTATAAATATGATGATAATAATAATAATAATAATAATAATAATAATAATAATAATAATAATGAAGATCAGGCCTGCTTGAAAACACTTCATCCATTATCTCCAAACAATCATGTTGACTTTCAGTAGTCTGGGGCAGAAGAGTAGCTGGATTCAAATTATTGACAGTTTCGAGGTGTACTCTTGGATTTTCACATAACATAGCTTGATATTTGGTAATTCGACTGTTACTAAACCAATGATTTCCTTTGTAATCCAATAGGGTCTGTACTACATGGGGTACTCGCACATAGAGTTCCTGACCCAATGTGAGCTTGTCAGATTGTGCTACCAACAGGGCAGCAGCGGCCACTGCTCGCAGACAAGGTGGAAGACCACTGGCCACGGCATCCAACTGTTTGGACATATAAGCTACATGTCTTTGCCATGATCCCAAATACTGAGTTAATACTCCCACAGCCATTCTTCTTTGCTCGTGTACGTACAGATAGAAAGGACGCGTGTTATCTGGTAGACCTAGGGCTGGGGCACTCATAAGTGTTTTCTTAACATCCTCAAATGCCTTCTGTTGTTTAGAGGTCCACAAAAAGGTCCCATTATTCTTTGACCTTCGGAAATATGGAATCCTAAATATTTAATAGTTGACTGGCACAATTGCGCTTTCTTCCTTGATACCTTGTATCCTGCTCTCCATAGAATGTGAAGCAAATCATAAGTTGCTTGTTGGCATATCTCTTTAGTAACAGCGGCTATCAAAAGATCATCCACGTATTGAAGCAATACACATTCTCCTGGGATGGACTTGAAATCTTGTAAATCCTGACTTAATGCAGATCCAAATAGGGTAGGTGAATTCTTGAACCCTTGAGGTAGTCTGGTCCAGGTCATCTGACGCTTTGAACCTGTAACAGCATCTTCCCATTGGAAAGCAAAGATACACTGACTCTCAGCAGCAATCCGAAGGCAAAAGAAAGCATCCTTAAGGTCTAGAACTGTGAAGTAGGTTGCCCCACCTGGTATCAAAGCAAGCAGATTATAAGGGTTGGGTACAACTGGGTGTATATTGACTACTGCATCATTAACTGCTCTCAAATCTTGTACAGGACGATATTCATCTGATCCTGGTTTCTGAACAGGTAATAATGGAGTGTTCCAGGGGGAAGTACAGAATTTTAGGATGCCATACCTTACGAACTTATCCAAGTAGGTCTGTACGTTTTTCTTAGCCTTTTGAGGTATATGATACTGACGTAGGCTCATAGGATAGGCCCCAAGCTTTAGTTCAATATGTATAGGTGGAATATTACGAGCAAGCCCAGGTGGATTACTCTCTGCCCATACTCCTGGAATGTCAAATAAAGGTTCATCACTCTTAGGGTTTACACTTGTCATTATGGAGTAGAAGCGCCATTCTTCTTCCCTTGGCACCGATACCACCATTATGCCTGGTAATCCATTAAACCTCAGAGACGTTGATCCATTAGGTAGAAAAGTTATCTGGGCTTGAAGCTTCGATAATAGATCTTGTCCTAGAAGTTGAATCGGACTCTGGCATATATAGGAACTGGTGCTTCAGCAAATGGCCTCCCAGAATGCAAGTGCGACTTTTAAGAACCGGTCTAGCTGCGCTTCTCCCAGTAGCTCCTATCACAGTTATAGTTTTTCCTGAAGGCGGAGCCACCATCTTAGTCACCACAGAATGTTCAGCACCTGTGTCGATCATGAAAGAACTTCTCTTTCCCCCATTGCTACATCGACCATAGGCTCCGCTCGGCCAAGGGAGATGGCGCCCGGTCAGTATCAATAGTCTTCCATGACAGTGTCAGCCAGACCTACAAAAATCTCTATCCTCTATCTCTTCGTCTCTGAATAGGTGGATAATATCTATCTCCTTGAACACTCCCTCTACTATTCCTACCGTTCCCTCCAAAACGTCCTTTTGCCCTATAACTACCACTCTAACCTCCCCGTACTCTTCTCTCTCCTTGCCTATTATTTTCATAATGCTCTCTCTGTGGACACTCATTCTTCCAATGTCCTTCCTCTCTACAAAAGGCACATTGATTCCTACTTAAAAGGTCACTTACTCAGCCTATTCTCGACTCCTTTATTCATTCACTTCCCGGTCTTTCTACACTTGTGATAGCTACCACTAGCATATCTGCCTTCTTCCTCATTTTACGTTCTTCCTCCCACTTTATCTCAGTTTCCCTATTCATATACACTTTATTTGCAATCTCCATTAGCTGTGATATGGACATCCCTACAAATCCCTCTAACTTTTGCAATTTTCTTTTAATATCACCTTGGGCCTGGTTGACAAATGCTGAGTTAATCATTCGAGAATTCTCAGGAGCCTCTGGATTAAAAGGAGTATACAACCTATATGACTCCAATAATCTTTCATAAAAGGCAATAGGTGACTCATCAACCTTTTGCAACACCTCAGCCGTCTTTGACATTTTGATTGCCTTCTTCCCTCCTGCCTTCATGCCAGCAATAATGGCTTCCTGATAAGCCCTTAATTGGGGCATATCAGCATCATTCACATTCCAATTTGGGTCAACATTTGGATAATGGGCTGCAGCCCATGCAGCTGGATTGGCCTGATTTTGAGTACGGGCCGTTTCCTCAAGCGCTTTAATAGCCGCTTGATTAATCCGGGTCCTTTCCTCACAATTAAATAAAGTTAATAATAATTGCTGGCAATTGCTGTTTGTATAATAGAGGTAACCAAATCTGTCATGACTTGAGGTTTGTCGTTATACGAAGAGTTATGAGTCTTCCAATAGAATAGATCAGTTGTGGTGAAGGGGACATATACAAACACTGGATCTGCCCGTTGTATTTGGCCATTTTCATCAACAGGTGTTTGGCCCGGTGTAAGTCGGAGGAGCATTTGGTAATGTCGGGGTTGAAGGGTACCAGTCATCTGTCGGGTTAATATAGGACTTCTGCAAGGCTGTTTTATAGTAAGTTCTGGTCTAGGGGTAATAAGGTAAGGAGAAAGAGGCGGGTTCATTTTACCGGGCGGAAGGTCAGTCAACAGGATGTTGCGGGCCGGGCTGATAGGAGCCTGACCAGGAACCATAAGTGACGTTAATTCCAGATATATAGAACTAGTGGAGGTAGGTACCGGAAGGGGAGGACTCAGGGCAAGTGGGCTGGGCTCTAAACTAGATGAATGAGTGGGCAGGGACAATGGGAAAGGGGGAGCGGCAACACCAGCAGCACCTCCTCTAACCTTAGAGGAGGAGTAAGGAGGTGGGAGGGAAGTTCAGACAAAGAGGGAGAGTCTAAAATGGGCGGGGTTGCGGCCTTGATGGACAGGCGAGTCCTGGCCACCATGAGACGACATTGCTCCTCGTGGCATACCTTAATCCATTTAGGCAATTCTTCCACAATCTGTTTCCAACAATCAATATACGGAAACTGATCATAGAATTCAGGCCTACTAGATACAACCGCGTGCACATGTTGCACTAGAGTTAGATCAAGACTACCACATGGAGGCCATGCGGTCACCAAGATAGGCCACTCTCTACTACATAATGTAGTCAAACGCTTTGGGAATAATTTCACCCCAAAATCACAAACTTTATATCCCTTTGCAAAGTTTTCAACATACACGACAAGGGATCAACAATCTTTGAGTCAGACGCACCCATACTGGCAACGGAGCGTCTAATACAAAGAAATACAATACCCCAAACACACTTCCAACGATGACACTTGTTTCCCTGGCAACAGCACCACGTGGCACAGTAGCTAGGCCAAACACACACGAAAACATGCAGAGAATTCTCGTACATACAGTCTCACATATCATGACGTCTCACTCACAAAGATTTACCAAACACTAGATACTTATCTCTGTAACTATAAATCAAACCCTACAATTATCCACAATATAAATCAACTTTTAACTAACCGACTATATCACATTCTAGTAACCTCATCTTTACAGTCAGTGGTTATGGTACGGTTAGCAAGTGGTTATAATACAGTTTTAAAGTCACAGATCAGTTAGTAACAGTTATGGTGTTACACATATACCATAAGACAACAGTTTTTAGTAATTTTTACACAATGTCAGTAGTTCTAGTACATGTTAATGGTTATAATACCGTGCGCTATTATACAGTATACACACAATTTACACTCCCACTAAACGGCAGAGCTCAAGCTTTCTAGCAGAACATACAATTCACCAACTACAGTATATTTAACATCATTTACAATAATCCCAACTATTCTAATTGGCCAGCACCTCAAGAACTATCGAACTATTTACACCAGGATTCGGTTAGTCTACGCTGCCCAAGCACCACATATAGCAAACCAGTGGGCGCAATTTACAACAGTACCCATTTAGTCTATCTACTCTATCAATAGTCTAGTGGCTGAATTTACAACCGCGCACACTTAGCCAAGATAGATTGAGAACTAGCAGACGGAATGTACACCAAAATCTGCTTAGTCTCGCCGACCTCCCCGACCTAGATACCGAAATTTACACCTAGACACGCTAGTCAAGACAGGACAACTGTGTGTGGCATAAACTATTTACACCAAGATTTAGCCTGACCCAAACCACCTATATTAGACGGGCTGACTACAGAGCGTCTAATTTCCAGATAAGCATTGCGCCTTCGCTTCCTCCCTCCAGAGGGAGGGGGCAATCCAATAACCGGTTCCAAATATAAAACTCCTTGTGGGCCTACCACGCTAACAGTATCAGTCTTACCTCTTCGTTCCTGAACCTGGGCTCACTCATCGACAGGGCACCCCGGTACCTACTACGTAAAGGCCGATGATCTCCTGGGCAGCCCGAGATGAAGGGATATCCACACAGAAGTTCAGGGGTGCTGCCGTAGAGAACGTTGGTAAAAAGGTTTACCGTCTCAAATCTCTGCGCCAGCTTCCGTGCGATGAGGTTCCCAGACCCAATGCACCAAAGATGTAACCGAGTAGACTTGCAGAAGCCAGACACAAAGAGATGAATGCAGGTTTTCAGGAAGTAAGAGGTCTTTATTAACATACCGATCGGGCCTCAGATGAACTAACGTTCCAAAACAGGTCTGAGGGACAAAACATATGGAGTACATGCTTTTTATAGAACTATAACTCCTCCCATTAATAGCTCCACCCGCATATACCCTTTACCAATCAGTGGACAGGATTTGGATTTCCTCATATGGGCAGACCACATGGCTCATCCGAAACAAAGGAGAAAGGAGTGTAATTTCAGTTCCTGCATTCCTGCACATGCTCAGTACATTGATGAGAGTATCTTAGCTACGTGTAACTAACTAACTGATACAACATACACATATGCCACGTGGAAATCTCGGCCTACTAAATTTACATTTCACCGAAATTTTATCACACCACAGCAATATAACTCACAGTAATGTGCAGTGTGTGTAAAGTCGTATATCACAGAGCTCCACAGCAATACAACTCACAGTAATGTGCATTGTGTGTTAGTGTATCAAAGAGCTCCACAGCAATACAACTCACAGTAATGTGCAGTGTGTGTTAGTGTATCAAAGAGCTCCACAGCAATACAACTCACAGTAATGTGCAGTGTGTGTAAGTGTATCAAAGAGCTCCACAGCAATACAACTCACAGTAATGTGCAGTGTGTGTAAGTGTATCAAAGAGCTCCACAGCAATACAACTCACAGTAATGTGCAGTGTGTGTAAATTTAAAAAAATTAGTAAGTAAAAAAAGTTTAAAAACAAGTTTTAAAAAGATACATTAAAAAAATGCACATTACCACTACACTTGGAACAACCAAGAAGAAACATTATTCCATGCTAAGGTTCAAAATATACCTTTTGAAATACCCTGTGATGTCTTCTTTAAGAAATGGTATGCCTTTACGGTGTAGTTGGAATATGTAGCCTGCTCAAGTGCTCCAAAGTGGGACACAGACGCAGCAAAACCCTCCATGAAAATTCCCACTTAAAAACCTCAACTTGTCACATCTCTTTTACAGCACTGTAACTTCACAAAATAGTGTCTAGGTCATACATTGGGCATATTGTTTTACTCAGAAGGTGTAACAGAATAATTTGGGGATTTTATGACAGTGGTACATATTAACTGTAAGAAATACTCAGCAAAAATGCAACATATATGTAAAAATGCAATTTTTTTACCCCTTTATCACAAACATTGACATAAATTGGTGAAAAAATGGTGACAACAAGTTAAGGCACAATATACACCATGTAAGAGACATGACCGGTGTATAGTCGCCATATGGGCAGTCGGACTCCAGGACAACCCTCCCACATACCTAACCCAATAACTCATTGACACGAAGGTATATGGGAAAATTTGTCCACAGCTTTATTAAAACAATCTTGAATAATAACAATTTATTAATTTCCATATTAATAACCATAACAAAAATAATTTAACAATAAACATGGGTCATTGCCCCCATACTCCGCCCTCGCATCCGAATCCTTCTGTTAATATAACAGGCAATGACCCCCATATAAATAACATATATATCATACATATCAACATATTCCAACATACCAACTTAAAGTGCCAAACATAAATTAACCATGGCAGGGGTATACCCGGATACCCCTGCCCCACCAGATTCTGAGCCACCGACAGGACTCGGAACCTACCAACCACCAATGACCACAGTTTTACGTCTCCATGACGTTCATCCTAGGGAGCCTATTTCTTCTCCTTCAGCTCCCTATCCCGCCACAAGCTCAGACCTTGACTCCTTAAGCTGTCTGAGCTCCGCCACCCCGAAGAAAAAGTGCCTTGGTTATGCCATCCTGCCAGCCCAGGGTCAACAGATCCCAACCAACTGCCGAGAGATGGACTCCATCCGAGCGGTAGTACCCCGGCAAACCACCTTCCAACTTGCTGTGCCGTACCACCACACCCCCTAGCTTCCGCACGAAGCTTGCCATCAAGCTATTCACTTTCTTCCTACACCTGTCAATAGCCTCCGGGTCCCTAGCGTGCCGCCATCGCCTCCTAGGGATAATCTCCGACCAGACCAACATCACCCCAGGAAGCAGGTCCCTTAAACTGTTAAGGTCCTGCTTCATCCACTTCACCAGCCGCTGCTGCGGAGTGAGGCCTAAGTCGTTGCCCCCCGCATGGAGCACCAGCAGGTCCGGCCTTTGCCCTGAGCTCGAGCTGCAGCCCTCCTTTCGGCCCAGAAGACAAATGAATGGCCCACGATCCATGCGACACGGCCTGGGGGAGAGAAGAAAACAGATTGTAACAGCCCCTTTTGTATCCAGCCCCCCGGGATCCTCGAAGGCCCCCCACCATACTACTCCAATAAACCCAAGCGCACATATGAACGGAACCGTACCGACTCCCATCTCCCAATCCGTTTCACTATGTCATCCCCCAGACCCAACCGTGCTGCCTCCGTAGCCGCCCCAATGCGAAAGGAGTGGGTACCAAACTTATCCGCCCTCAATCCCAGCTTTCCCAGGCCAGACCGAAAAACCTTGGTGAATTGGAACCGGGAGAGGGAAGACCCGTCCGCGTGTACCAGCAGCGATCCCCCAACCCCCGGCCTTCGTGCCATGTACCCCGCCACTGCGGCCACTGGGCACAGAGCGGAGCCCGGCAGGGCCCGCAGCGTCACGTCCCGGCCCTTGACTAACATGTCCATCTTGGATTTTGCCAGGTGTACAACCACCTTCCCTTCCAGCACTCTGACCCCCGACACCTGTACCCCCCCGCCGCAGTCCTCGTGGCACTGACCAACTCCCCTAACCGAAAGGCTCCAAAGAAGGCCAACAGAAATGCCACCTGGAACAACGATGTTTCGAACCTGTCAAAACAAATATTAGGCAATAAACCGACCAGGTCACCCAACCCTCGCACCGATACAGGGCGCCGAGTGTCAGGCCGCCTGCGGCCCCGCCGGTACCCCTTCAGTGCCTGCCTGATGACAAAGGCCTTAGTAAGGTCCTCTTTCCCGTGTAGGTTAAACCAGTCAACCACCGCCGGCGACGCCCCCTTCACCAGAAATTGACAGGTGTACCAGAGGAACGCATCCTTGAGTGATTCCCCCGCCGGCAGGCGGTCCAACCCATCCCATGACCTTTCCCAAGATTCCAAGACCTTACTGTATGCAGCCCATGTGGCCGACGCCAGCGAAGCCTTCACAAGTCCCACAAGCAGGTCGCACCGAGCCGCCAAATCTCTTCTGGGCAAGCCTGCCCCACCTCTTGCGCTTCTGGCGCCACCGTCCGGAATCGCGACCACTGAAAACGAGACAGAGCGTCAGCCACATCATTCATGAACCCAGGCACATGCGCGAAAAACAACATTTAGCGACATGCACAACAGAACGAAACGACGTAGCAACCTGACCACGGGTTTCGACGACGCCAATTGGCTATTCACAGTGTGCACCACGGCCATATTGTCCGAGAAAAAGACCACCTTCCGGTCCCGCAGCCTATCCCCTCACAGGGCCAACGCCACGACCAGCAGGAACAGCTCCAAGAAAGCCAAGTTCCGCATGAGGGGGCTTGTTCGCCACTCCCCCGGCCATCACTCCGCACACCAACTTCCCCCAAAGTAGGCCCTGAAGCCCATGCTACCAGACGCGTCAGTGAACAGCTCCAGTTCCGCAGCCGACACGCCCTCCTGCCTAAAAATCACCGTCCCATTGAACTCCCGCAGAAAGGTCTCCCATACGGCCAAGTCGGCCCTCATGGCCGACGATACCCGAATGAAGTGACGCGGGGATTGCACTCCCGCCATCGCTGCCGACAAACTACGGTTGAACACCCTACCCATTGGGATCACCCTGCATGCAAAATTCAGCATCCCGATCAACGACTGCAGCTGCCGCAGTGTAACCTTACGGGCTTGAGCCACCACTGTCACCTCCCCTTTCAGCCGCTGTAGCTTTTCCAACGGCAGCCGACACTCCCCTTGCAACGCATCTATCTCCAGCCCAAGAAAACTAAGGCACGGAGCCGGCCCTTCCGTTTTGTCCGCCGCCAGCGGGACCCCGAAATGGCCAGCCAGCCAGCCACCCAGTCGACCGTTCTCAGCAAGTGTAGGCAGGCGGGGGAGCCCGCCGGCCCCACACAGAGAAAATCGTCCAGGTAGTGCACCACAGCTCCACTCCCCGCCTCGACCCTGACCACCCATTCAAGAAACGTACTAAATTTCTCAAAGTAGGAGCATGAGATAGCACAACCCATTGGGAGGCACAAATCCACGAAGTACTCCCCGTCGAAGAAACACCCCAGCAGGTGATGACACGCTGAGTGGACCGGAAGCAGCCTAAACGCCGCTTCAATATCCACCTTAGCCATTAGTGCCCCGTGCCCGGCCCTCCTTAACAGCTCGACCGCCTTGTCGAATGATGCGTAGGAGACCGAGCACAAGTCCCTGTCAATATCATCATTCACCGACTCCCCTTTCGGGTAGGAGAGGTGGTGAATGGGCCGGAACTTCCCCAGTTCCTTCTTGGGAACCACCCCGAGTGGGGAAACCTCAGACCCTCCAGTGGAGGAGCCAGGAACAGTCCTGCAATCCTCCCCAACTTGACTTCCTTGCCCAGTTTTTCCCGCACCACACCCGGGAATTCAGCCACCGATTTAAGGTTGCGCCGAACCCCTGTCCCCCCCCCGGTTCCGGAAAGGGATAAAGAACCCCTGTCCAAACCCCGCCCGGAGCGCCGCGGCATCTGCCCTATTATCGTAGCGGCTTAGCCACGGCTCCATCGCGTCTAGCCTCACCGGGGTTAGGCCCCGGGGCAAGCGAAACTCCCCCTCCCCCCCCCAGCCGCGGTAGGGACTCCGGCGTGCCCCGACTTCCCTTTCTTGAAGCACCGGTTGAGCCCATGAGCGCCTCCGCAGCCCGAACACTCGTGCTTAAAGCGACAGGTGTTTCCCCATTTGCACTGGCCCTGGTTAAAGAGCCAGCAGAAGCCCTTTTGCAAGGCGGCCGACGAGACGGACTGCCCCTTTGCGCCGGCCGTCGGCTGAAAGGGCTGTGCTTTCTGCGCCATCATCAGCTTCATTCAGAGAGGCAGGTCCATTTGATCCCACCTCATACCTGGATTAGCCGCCAAACGCTGACGGAATTGCTTGTCGTACCGCCACCATGCCAGTCCGCCATAGGTGCGGTACGCCTCCCAAATGCCATCCAAATAACAAAAACAGGGAGGAGCACAAGCCCGGCGATTTCTCGCCCAGAACACTGGCCAACACGCAAAACGCCCTCAGCCAGTTACCGAAAGACTTAGGTATCTTACGATACCGCTTCTTTTTCTCTTCCTCCTCCTTCTTCTCGTCTTTTTTATCGTCCTCCTCGAGATCAATAAAATCCTCCAAAGGGAGAAGAGAAAAGATCTCGCAGAATTCACCTTTCCAGATTTTTTTCCTTCACCTCCTGTTTGAGGTGGACCCCCAGCGGACCCACAAACGACACATATGCGTGTTGCCTGGCTGCATCAGGAACCACCCCCCCAGCCAACTCAGCCCGCTCGCTCGTCGCATCCGCCCTGGTAACGGTCGTCGCAGTGTCCCCACCCGAACTCTGCTCCACGGAGGGAATCTCACTCGGGCCCACTACCCCGGCCCCCTGAGCCCAGACCTGACCCACACCGCCCCTCGTGGCACCCCCCACTCCCAGTGAGTGGAGAAGCGCTTGAAGTGTATGAACCAGTGCACTGGAGTGCAGAGAAGCACAGGACTCACCGGACAAGCCCCTCGTTCCCGAAGCTCCTGGGGCTGCGTTGTGCACAGTCCCCCAACCAGGATGAGCGACATCCGTCAACGACCCTCCAACCGGGGAGCCAACCCGGTGCCCAGCCACATCAGAGGCGGAGCGGCTCCGAGATCTGTAACGAGGAGAAGAAGTCCTGGGCAGAGCATACTGATCATGAGCAGCCCCCCCGTCCCGACCTTGAGAGCGCCCGCTGGACACCAGAGCCTCCCGTCGCGCGACCACTCCTTTTCGCCACCTAAGGCCCGATAGGCCCAGCCTCTGGGACTACGACTCCTCGCATTCCTAGCAGAGGCCCGCCCCCATGGAACAAGCCTGGGGGCCATGACACTCTCCCCCCCGAACTACCAGATGAGGACCTAGTGCACCGAGCCCTTCCCCTAACCCCCCCAGACCCCTGGGCCTTAACAGGTGATGGGCTGCTACAACCAGACACCGACCCTGAGCCCCCCCCAGTACTATGCCCACCTAGCTGCTCACCAGCGCGGGGTAATCCCCACCTCGGCGGGCTCCCCGGCTAGAAGAACCCCCTCCCCTTGGCACCTCTAGACCATCCCCAGACCCCGCTGCAGACCCATCACCCCTAACCTGCCCTGAACGCCCTGCGCACCTAGACCTCCTGCCCCCACCCGATGGCAAACCTCCCCCCACCGTTCCCAAGGACCCCCCTGGCCCATCTACCCTCCCGGCTACAGGCCCTCGCCCCTCGATCACTGTCCTGGTACTACCTAGCGCACCCTCCCCCCTAGGTCTCTCTGCACCCGATCCAGTAGGAGCCTGACCCCTCTCCATCCCCCCCCCAGGTCTCTGAACCCCGTGCCCAGTACTCATGTGCTGATCCGCGCCAAGGGGGCCCCGGCCGGAACCCCCTGCACTTGCCTGTTCCAGGGGCGGTCCACGAGCTCCTCCTGAACCGGCCCCGCCAGTCTCCGGCATGGGTGTAGG